GATTGAGGCTGGAGCTGCTGGGCGGAAGCCAATCAGGAAATATTTTCTGGAAAGCCCCCTACCTCCCTCCGTGTTGCTGCCCTAACACCAAGCGTGTTCAAATGGCCTCGCCCTCCCTCCTGGTGCCCTGTCCCGGGATCTGGACTGAGGATGGGGCAGATGGGGTGGGTCTGTGTCAGGCCTGATGTCACTGAAGGACATCCCAGGATTTGTTCTTTCTCTCTGGGTGGCCCTCGTGTCTGCAGGAAGTGTCGGGGAGCTGTATTTCTGTCCCACCTTTGAGCATAAACCTCCCCTCCACAGGTCAGGTGGCTTATCTTATGACAGCACTTGTCAGATATACTGAGCTTTGGACTTCTTCTCATGGTCTTGCTCGGTGTTTCAAGGTCCTGACCTGGACATGGCAGCAACAGGGGGAGGAAGACAGATTAGTGTTGGGATCTGAAAGCACAGAGTCAAGTTGAGGGGCAGACTGGCAAGGGGCATTTAACGCTCCCCTCCCCCACCCACCCCCAACTTTGAATGACTCCAGCAAGGGAAATGGATAGATGCATGGGAGGGGGAGGGAAGAAAAGCCAGAGAGAGAAACAGAGAAATCCTCTCATGTGAAGTGTTCTTTTTCCTTTGGGATTTCCTTTTTGCAGATAGTTTTATTCTGGATTAACACATAGCGCTAGAATGCAGTGCCCTACTAGAAGGTAAACTCCCCAAGGGCAAGACGGTCTGTGTGTTGCGACAGCTTGGGACAGCCGACCACATCTCTTCCCAGCTCTGTGCTTAGTGACATCACCTTGGTAGCCTGAAAACAGCCATGGAGTATTTACCCACGGAAGTTGATAAAGGCTACTGGGCAGCACTTTTTCCCTCCAGAGAGCTGGGTGTTACTTACGCGTTTGCCACCACTGGACAGGTCTCTCCGCAGCTTCTGGAAGAGGAGGCCTTCAAGTGTCCCTGGAATGAATAAACAACCGTCAGCAAGAGAGGGAAGAAGAGAAGCAGCATCCTCTCCAAGTCCAGTTAAACAAGCGCTGTGTGCCAGCAGCTGCACATCGGAACGAGGTTCCCATCCGGGCAACCTGCCGACTCTTGCTTCGTAGGTCTTGGCGGTCAGGGTGCAGCCGTGCTCCTTCCTGTTGGGGTTGGCATCTACGAGGACTATTCAGGGTTTTCTCTGGGGATGATATGGGTCATTGTAACCTGAAAGTGGTGGTGGCAGCTTCCAGAGACCAACAGGACAGTCCTAACCAGAACTGCTCCTGGGCCATGGTCTATGGCATTGGTGGGGACTCTGGCCCTTGTCTGTGCCTGATTCTCCAGGCTTCCTGTCCGTTCCATGAGCTCTCAATGTCCTTACTTAAGCCTCAACTTGCTCAGCTGAGCCTCGCACAGAGGGTGGGTAGAGTAGGGAAGTACTTAGCCGCTATAAAGCGGCTTCCACTTTCCCTGACCTTGCAAGATTCACAATTTAGAGGGAGGAAAGGGACACATTCGTATCACTGTAGTAGTTCCAAAGTGCAATCCTGGCGCCGTGGGAGCACAGAGGTAGGCTTTAAGGGAAGGCCTCCTGGAAGTGGCCTATCCTTGGAGCCTGGAATGGGTTTCCATTCTAACCCAGCCTTACAAGAAGATCTGGCCACTTATTTCTAGGCTGTGTCCCTGGATCTGCAATCTGCTGAGATGATCCGGATGTAAAGAACCCAGGAAACAGGCAGAGGGAGCACGGGGCAGAAGGAACTTTTGCTGAGCACGCACTTAGTAGGAGCTTTATAGCGGCTGAGTACTTCCCTACTCTACCACGCTCTGTGTGAGGCTCAGCTGAGCAAGTTGAGGCTTAAGGAGGTGACATGATTTAGTCCTAAGTTCACACACAGAGCAGAACAGGTTCCCAGTCTAGGTCTGTCTGCCTCCAAGGGCTGTACCCTCTTCTGCACCCTGGGCTTCTCAGACCAGCAGGTAGAAGGGCCAGGCAGAGGGGGATTTACAATGAGAGGGAAGGTCTCTGGTCTCACCCCAGAATCTTCTTTCTAAATCACCATTTTGTGTGTGTGTGTGTGTGTGTGTGTGTGTGTGCGCGCACCAATTGTGCACACAATTTTTGGTGAACAATTATGTTCTGGGCACCGTGCTCACACATCCTTCTGGGGTAGAGAACTTGAGGCTTGGGAGAGGACTACTTACCCAAGCCAGGAACTGCTCGAGCCTGGCTCCTTCACGCTGTGTGTTGACTCTGTTCCCTACCTTCTGGGTCTTCTTTGCAGCGGGGGTGGGGAGCAAGAAATCATGGGCCTGGGTGCCTGAGAAGGGATCACTGAGGAAAAACAGGAGCAGACCAGGAAGGTGCCTCAGCGGCCCCACCCCCCAGAGCAGGAGAAGCAGCTTCCTCCCACTTAAGGGACCTTTGACCAAGCCCAGAAAATTCCTGGCTGATGGGGGCAGGGAGTGGGGCTTCTTGAATGGAAGACGCTATTTTCCTTTTCTAGACAGGCTTTGGGTAATTCCACTCCCTTTTCTCTGCCAAGCTTTATCTTTGCTTAAGAATTCACACTAGTCCCGAGGGGCCCCTGCTACACAGCTGCTGCTGCTTCTTTCTTCACTGATGGGTAAGAAATGGGACAGATGTAAAATGCTTATGTTTTAATAAGCGTTTTGTCTGAGCATCAGTGACAACTTAGAGAGATGATCTACAGGGGCTGCTGCTCTCAATGGGGGCGGGGAGCTTCCTACCGGTGTTTCTCTGCCCGAAAGGAGGCCATGGGAGAAATGACCAGTGCTCAGGGTAAGTAAAGGACGGAAGGTATAAGAAGATGAGGGAGGGGGGCTTGGGTGGCTCAGTCGGTTGAGCAGCTGACTTTGGCTCAGGTCATGATCTCGCGGTTTGTGGGTTCGAGCCCCGTGTCGGGCTCTGTGCAGACAGCTCGGAGCCTGGAGCCTGGAGCCTGCTTTGGATTCTGTGTCTCCCTCTCTCTGCCCCTGCCCTGCTTGCACTCTCTCTCTCTCTCTCTCAAAAATGAAAAAAAAATAAAGGAGATGAGGGAAAAGGACCTGCTGTGTGAACTCCCCACCTCCCATGTGGCCCAGGGCCAATGCTATTTACCTGGGGGTAGGTGATTTTCAGTCAAAAAGGGATGGCAGGCAAGAAGTGCCTTTGCTGAGAAAAAGGACATTGGGGAAAGGAAATGAAGTGTATCACACGTATTGAGTCCCTACTTTGATCCTAACTAGTGCCTTGGGCACAGGTGATGGGGAGGCAAGCTTTGTCCTTAGCCTCTTACAAGGTGAGTCAGGGAGACTCGGGTTCACCACAGAGTGATGCACCATAAACTACAGCAGACAGGGACAGAGACTGAGGGAGCGGGGCGGGCACCAATTCTGCCTGCTACGGTACGGTACGGGGAAGGCTTCTAGAAGAGGTGACATTTGGTCAGGGCCTTGAGGGATGAGTAGTAGCTTGCAAGGTAGAGTGGAATTTCAGAGTGCATTCTAGGCAGTGTGAAAAGCTGGCTGGGAGGGTAGCAAACAGCAGCCTGTGTGAGGAGAAACAGCTCAGCCCCAAACCACTGCAATAAAGCGAATATCACAATAAAGTGAGTCAAATAGATTTTTTGGTTTCCCAGAGTATATAAAACTTAGGTTTACACTACACTGTAGTCTATGAAGTATGCAATAACATGTCTAAAAAACTAATTAAAAAAAATTTTTTTTAATGTTTTTAAATTTCTTTTTGAGAGACAGAGAGAGAGACAGCATGAGCGAGGGAAGAGTAGAGAGGGACTGAGACAGAATCTGAAGCAGGCTCCAGACTCTGAGCTGTCAGCACAGAGATTGACACGGGGCTCAAACTCATGAGCGGTGAGATCATGACTTGAGTTGAAGTCAGACGCTTGACCCACTGAGCCACCCAGGCGCCCCTAAAACATTTTTTTTTTTTTTAAGTAAACTGTATGCCCAGCACAGGGCTCAAACTAACAACCCCTGAGATCAAGAGTCGCATGCTCAGCGGGTTAAGCTGAGCTTTTGATTTCAGCTCAGGTCATGATCTCACAGTTTGTGAGTTTGAGCCCCACAGGGGGCTCTGCACTGACAGCACAGAACCTGGTTGGGATTCTCTCTCTCCCCCTCTCTCTGCCTTGCTCCCCTCTAAATAAATAAATAAATAAATAAATAGATAGATAGATAGATATTTAAAAAAGAAAAAACAGAGTTGCATGCCCTACCAACTGAGCCAGTCAGGTGCCACTAAAAAAAAAACATTTTTTTTCTAATTAAAAAAGACTTCATTGATGAAATAATGCTAACCGTCATCTGAACTTTCAGGGCATCCTAACCACTGATCACTGGTCACCATAACATATAATAATGAAAAATTTTGAAGTATTGCCAGAATTACCAATATATGACACGAAGTGAGAAAATACTGTTGGAAAAACGGGGCCAGTAGACTTGCTCTAGGCAGGGTTGCCACAAACCTTCACTTTGTAAAAAATGCAATAAAGTGCAATCAAGCAAATCACACACACACAAAAAACACAACAAAATAACAAAACCCCCAAAACACAAAACCACGCAACAACCAAAAACCCTCAATCCTCCAAACCAACAACCCAAGGAGGCACGAGAAAGTGAGGCCTGCCTGTACAGAATTCAAGGGTGGAAGAGGCGGACGGCTGGACGCAGAGGTGTGTTGTATGTAAGGTGAGCATGGAGCGGGATGATACAGAGATGGATGGCTGAGACAGAGGAAGTGGGACCGGGGTGGTGACTGGTGCCCCCTCCCCCCCCCCCCCCCCCCCCCAGTAGAGGAAACACAGAATGGAGGGCAAGCCAAGCTCTGGCACAGACCCAAGGGGATGCAGCACGGGTCACTGCAGGGGGGCGGGGGCTTTCCACTGGGATTGGGGATGGGTGTCCGCAGGGCTGGCTGGGGCGGGGGGAGGGGGGAGATGGGGCGGGGAGAAGCCAGCCAGCTGCAGGGAGAGAAAGTCCAACCTCCGCAGGCGTTCCGCGCCGCCAGGCCAACCTCCCATTCCAGGGGCGGGCACCGACGGAGCAGCGCTGCGTGCCCCGCGCGCCCGGAGACCCAGGTAGGAAAGCGGAGGGACAGTGCCCCGGGGGCAGGGGCGGCTCGCTCCGGGGCTGCTGCAGGAACGTGCCCCGCCTGGCCCGCAGGAAGAGCGGTATCGGAGGAAGTAGGGGGTCCCGGAGGGGAACCCGCCTCCGGCTCTGTCCACCGAGGTCACCGCTCCGCACCGCACCTCGGGCGGGGTCGGAAGGTCACCGGCGGGCGGGAGACGCCAGGAGCCACTGGGGCTAGTGGTGGGCGGGCGGACGCAGCCGGAGCCCCGCGCAGACGCCGTCCGCCCCCTCGGACCTTGCCTCGGTGGGAAGCCTTTGCCGCGCCTCCCAGGCGCCGGGCCCAGGAGACCGAGCGTGCCCCTCCCGGAGGTGCCGTCAGGGCCAGCACGTGCCCGGTGGCCCTGGCGCCTCGCGTGGGAAGGTCACCTTTCCACTTTGGGGGGGTCTGCGCCCGCGCGTTCCCGGGCGGGCGGCTGGGGGGCGCGGGCACGTCCCCGGGCCGGGACTGCGGACCGCGGGCGCCTCCTCGTGACCGACGTGGGGAAGGTTCTTGCGTGGGAGGCAGACGGGGAAGGGTGTCGCACCGGCCTCGGGCGTCTCCGCATCCGCTGGGGACCCTGCGGACAAGTGGCGCCTGGCGCGCAGGGACCCCAAGTACGGGTCGCGGGCCAGCCCCCGCGAGGAGGAGCAGACGGGCTTGGCCTCCGCTTCGGCCCTGGTCCGGCACCGCCGCGTTCCTCGGGGACACGGTGTGAAAGGAGCCCCCACTGTCGGGCGGGTGCGCAGCGGGCCCTGCCCTCGGGCAGTTGGGGGAGCCCCGCAGAGTAGTCCGGTGCCCAAGACCCAAGGCTGGTCTTTTTTGCGTTTTTCTCCCAAGTGAATTGAAATAGCCTTCCAGGCTTTCCAGGACCTTGGGATTGCATATGTGGGCCTTGATCTAGTGTAATTGCAGCCGTGGTGGTGGCACCTAGTAGCAATTTTAAGTCCAGTCTTTCTTCTGTCCTTCCGTCTCTCCCTTGGCTCTGCTCACCTCCGCCCCTTAAGGCAGCCGGCTTTAGAGAAGCATCTCCCCAACACTCATCTTGGCATGAGCCCTAGAACAGCACGGAGCTGTTACAGGAGCTGCGGGGCGGGGTGCGCAGAGCAGAGGTCGTCCTGGGCGGTGGGGTGTGGGGAGAGAAGGCCGTCCCCCTTGCCCCCCCGCCTGCAAGCCCCAGGAACCTCTGATTTGACTGTGAAAATAACGACCGAATGAATCAGTGTTTGTGCTAAATTAACGAAGCATGTACGTCGCTAAACGTGCCAGGTTACATTTTGCTGAACTTGGCTTGTGTGTGCTCTGTTTTGTCCTTGTAAAATGAAGTCATTTTATGCTAAAAAAAAAAAAAATTAGAACATTGGTAGAATTACAGATTTGTAAATTTGAACTTACAAGTCAGTACTCGCTTGCTGTTTTGTACTGAAGGAGCAAATTGCTTATGTCATTCTTTGGTACAGTGCACAGACTGAACACACACACCACACTGGGGTCTACTTGTGGTGACTTTCTTGTGCAGAGAAATGCTGACTTGGGTTTACAGTAGGGTTACAATTGACATTTTTAAAGCATTTGAGCTTTGAAAGCATCTTGGGAGAGTTTTTTAAATGCAACTTTTAAAAATGTTTATTTTTGAGGGGCGCCTGGGTGGCGCAGTCGGTTAAGCGTCCGACTTCAGCCAGGTCACGATCTCGCAGTCCGTGAGTTCGAGCCCCGCATCAGACTCTGGGCTGATGGCTCAGAGCCTGGAGCCTGTTTCTGATTCTGTGTCTCCCTCTCTCTCTGCCCTCCCCCGTTCATGCTCTGTCTCTCTCTGTCCCAAAAATAAATAAACGTTGAAAAAAAAATTTATTAAAAAAAAAATGTTTATTTTTGAAAGAGAGTGCGTTGGGGCATCTGGGTGGCTCAGTCGGTTGAGCGGCCGACTTCGGCTCAGGTCATGATCTCACGGTCTGTGAGTTCGAGCCCCGCGTCGGGCTCTGTGCTGACAGCTCAGACCTGGAGCCTGTTTCAGATCCTGTGTCTCCCTCTCTCTGACCCTCCCCCGTTCATGCTCTGTCTCTCTCTGTCTCAAAAATAAATAAACGTTAAAAAAAAAAATTTAAAAAAGAGAGTGCGCTGCCTTCGCATGAGCGGGGGAGGGGAAGAGAAAGGTAGACAGAGGATGAGAAGTGGGCTCTGTGCTCATAGCCTGATTCTTTGGGGCTTGAACTCAAACCTGGAGATCATGACTTGAGCCCACGTTGGGCGCTTAACTGACTGGGCCATCCAGGCGCCCCCAGAGAATTTCTTTAAAAAAAATTGTATATATATATATTTTTTTAAGATTTTATTTTTAAGTAATCTGTACACCTAACTGTGGGGCTCAGACTCACAACCCTCTCATGAAGAGTCGCATGCTCCACCCACTGAGCTAGCCAGGCGCCCCTATATTAACAAGTTTTAGAAACAACTGGTGTGATGGATTAAAAAAATTTTTTTAATGTTTATTTATTCTTGAGAAAGAGAGAGAGAGAGACAGAGCATGAGTGGGACAGGGGCAGAGAGTGAGGGAGACAGAATCTGAAGCAAGCTCCAGGCTCTGAGCTGTTGGTACAGAGCCCGACACGGGGCTTGAACCCACAAACCTGGAGATCATGACCTGAGCTGAAGTTGGATGCTTAACTGAGTCACCCAGGCATCCCTGTAATGGATTTTTAAAAAGCAATCTCTTGGGGCGCTTGGGTGGCCCAGTCGGTGCAGCATGCAACTCTTGACTTCTGCTCTGGTCATGATCTCGGGGTTCTTGAGATAGAGCCCTGCTTGGGCTCTGCGACCTGAGAGCGTGGAGCCTGCTTGGGATTCTTTCTCTCCTCTCTCTGCCCCTCCCCCACTCATTCTCACGCACGCTCTCTCTCTCTCTCAAAAAAAAAATAAACAAATTTAAAAAGCAACCTCTTGCTAAATTAAAAATAGGCTGATTGCTTTGATTCTGAACCGGTCTTTCAACAAGAAGTATTTTTTTAAACGCTTATTTATTTATTTTGAGAGAGAGATGATGTGAGCAGGGGAGAGCCAGAGAGAGAGGGAGAGAGAGAGAATCCCAGGCAGGCTCTGTGCTGTCACCACAGAGCCCTACGTGGGGGCTCCATCTCACGAACCACCATATCTTCACCTGAGCGGAAACCAAGAGTCCGACACTCAGCCCACTGAGCCACCCAGATGCCCCTCAACGAGAAGTATTTTTAATTGCCCTCTTTTTTTCCCCTTTGAATCGTGAAAGAAGATACTCTTGGACTTTTAGAAGCCAGTAGTAGGTCTTCTCCACTTCCACCCCCCCTCCCCGCCGACATGAGCGCCATTGAGCCCCATGGCCTTCCCTCTGGTCCCCCTGTGGCTCTCTGGTCACCTGTGGGCAACGGGAAGGGAGGGATGCACCCCTGCCCACCCACTGACCGGTCCTGACCCCTGCCCTGCCCACCCCGGCCTCTCCCACAGGCTGAGATGCAGGCCGAGGTCTGGATGTTCCTGCTCGTGCCCCTGCTGCTGGCCCCGGCCCCTGGGTCCTCGGTGAGTGCTGCCCTACCTGGCCAGGCTCCCAGCTTGGGAGCAGGGAATGGGGGATGGGGAATGCCCCAGGGTTTAGGACCAGGGAGGAGCCACCCCACCGCAGCTCAGAGCCCTGTCCCTGCAGGGAAGGCCAAAAACAATGAAGTTCTTTTAAAAGCGGATGGCACCTTGAAGGGGTCTAGTCAAGGTGCCCGGAGCTGCCCGCCAGGCTGCAGGGTGCAGTTTGCAGGAATGGTAACTTGCCACTGCCCTCCCCCCACCCAGTAGTCTTCCAGGGAGGAAGGAAGGGGAGGGGGCTGTGCTGGCACAAGCCAAGACGCAGGCTAGATGGCTCATCCCATCTGCAGTCTGCCTGGGACAAAGCGGGCTGCCCCTCAGCTTGACTGTTTGTGCTTCGAGGTTTGTGGGTGCCGGTCATTCCTCCTCGCTGGGGGCTGGCATCCAGGGCAGAGATGGCCAACAGACCTCTCTGAGATGATCAACGTCCTGAATCTGTGCTGTCCCGTAAGATAGACACTTGGTTACTGAGTGGCTACACGTGGCTACTGAGCGCATGACATGTGGCTAGTGCAGCTAAAGAACTAAGTTTTTTCTTTGATTTGATTTCTTTAATTAACTTAAATAGCCACACGAGGCTCATGGATATTGCATTAGTGCAAATTTAGAGGACACGGGAGCCCACTGGTGATCAGTGTAGCTGTTTTGTTAACAGGGCCCGAAGAACAGCTTCCTGGAGAGCAAACCTGGGGGCCTGAGGTTATATGAAAAATCTTCTAGATGGCAGGACAAACCTCCGGGAGAGGAGGGGCCACAGAGCTGGGCTTGGTCCTGGGAGCTGCTCCTGCCAAGCTCCTGCTGGCATTGACTGGGTGGAAGGCACGGAAGCAGCCAGGTCCCATCCTGCCCCCGGAGAGTTCTTTGCTAGGGGGACCCCCACATCCCTGTCCACCGTCTGTGAGACAGACAGTCCCTGGGGAAGGAGGGGAAATGCCACCTCTGTAGAGTGTGAGTCAAGGATGAGAAGGGGCAGGGCCAGGCAGCATGGGCCACAGTCAGAGTGATGGGTGGGCTAGAGGCCACCTGCCCACGGCCACCTCTGCCACCCCATGGTCCTTGCTCCCTAAATGTCACACCATGAGATCCTTGGCACAGGCTTTCTCTGGTGCCTGGGCATGAAGCCATCGCTCAGGTGGAGGGGCTATGTTGCCAGAGTCAAGGCCCTGGGAGGAAACCCAGAGCCACCCCCTAACAATTGTGTGACCGTAAGCAAATCATCAGGCCTTAGATTCCCTTTAATTGGGGGTTATAATACCCACCCTCAGGTTCCTGTGCAGGTGAAGTGAGTCAAGGTGCACAAAACGACCTGGGTCCTATTAGGTGCTTTCTGTCTTAGGAACACCTGAGCAACCTTTTCCTGCCTCCTCCTCCCCACACCATGTGAGCTCAGGTGGGGCCTAGAACTCTCCTCCGCCCCTCCACTGCACGCACCCAGCTCAGCTGCCTCCTATTTCTGGCCTCGGCCGAGGGCAGAGCCACCACGGGGACCCCGAGTGCTTCTTGGCTCTTCTCAGTGCTGACAGGGGTTAGGGATGAATAAAGCGGATATGCATCCTGGCCGTCACGCCCAGTCACTGCCTGCCAACCCCGGGCTGGTCAGGAGTGGTTTCCACCCACTCACACCTTCTCTCACCCGCACCCCTGCACGGCACAGCACAGCCCTGGGAAGAGCGCAGCAGGAAAGGGGGCCCCTGAGTTGCCCTGGGAGGAGGAAGTCGGAGCAGGAGAGACTGGGTACTGAGAGCAGGAGCAGGTGAGGACGGGCCAGCAGGAGGACGGGCTGGACCCGCTTATTCTGGCTCCACACCATCAGCTTGTGGTTTGAGTAATTATAGCGAAACAAAACATGCCTGTGCTGCCCGTGGCTGAAGCCAAATGTGCTTTCGTTCCCCGGGGAGACAGTGTGGAGGGGTAGGCAGCCCGGCTCTAAGATCTGGCAGGCTTGGTCCCTCCCTCCCATCTGCCGGGCAAGTGGATGTCTGCTTCGTGGGTGCCGGGCACAGGAGGCCAGGGCATGCTTGCAGTAGGGCTTTCGGCCCCTTATGGTGAAAGCTGGCGAGTTCTGTAAATGAATGTTCAGGGTGCCTGGTGTTCTTGCCGAGTCCTTGAAGGGCTTTGGCTCCCAAGGGGAGATCGGGGAATGTTTTTAGGCAGGGGTCCTCTGGGGAGCCCCAGTGCCCTTGTGGGGGGCTGAGTGACTCACACTCCTCTGCGTGTCTTTTCCTCCAGGCTCCCAAGGTGAGGCGGCAGAGTGACCTCTGGGGCCCCTGGGGCACCTGGGGCCCCTGCAGCCGGACCTGCGGAGGGGGCATCAGCTTCCGGGAGCGCCCCTGCTACTCCCAGAGGTAGGGGAGGCTGGCCGGGGCCAGCCTGTTAGAAGAGGGCAGGGGGCAGGCTGGTCGGGGAGTCCGCTGGTCCTGAGCAATAGGTTTGCTCTGGGAGCAGCATCGGTGGAATATTTGGAATCAAGTCCATTTCCCACGTACGTACGCTCTGATTCCAACAATCAACCTGATTTCAGGGGAACTAGAGACAGGCCTGCCTCATGTGCCCGAGTCTCTAGTTCCTCATGCTTCAGGTGGCAGGTGCAGTAAATTCTTGGTGAATTACTGAACGATCTTCAACAATTGCTAACCTGTGCATTTTCTCCACCTGCAGCCTCTTTAAGTATACGTGTCTCCCACTTTAATAAGTGAGAGATCAAGTGCCTATGTGCCCTGCACTCTGATAGGTGCCATGGCGGGTGGGGCACAAAACAAGGGGGTGACCCTTTGCCTGTTGGTGCGTTACCTCACTATTCTTGAGAACCTTGCGTGAAGAGGAAGAGACATGAGCTATTATTCTAAGCACCTTATGCTCATATACACCTTAAATGGCAGAATAACCTTACCAGATATGCATATATTCCGTCTTATTTTATCTCCAAAGGCAGAATTGGGGTCTTCTTTGGAAAGCTGCTTTAAGAGGCCGAGTAGCCCCGAGTTAGAGAAAGTCCAGAATAGGCTGCTGAGTCCAGCTTCTTCCAAGTATAAACTCGGGGCTCATTACACCTACCTGGGGGAACCTGTGCGTGCACAGGCATCCCTCCTCTGTCCAGCGGGGCCTGCGGGGGAGCCCCAGGAGGAGGAGGGGGTGTTGGTTGGCGGGGTCCGGGCCTTCCCGGTGCGGTGTTCTCATCCTCAGGACAGACGGAGGCTCCAGCTGCGTGGGCCCTGTCCGGAGCCACCGTTCTTGCCACACTGAGGTAAAGCTCTGGGACCCCTACCCGGCTGACCTCCCAGTCCCCGGGGCGTCCTCCCACTGGTGCACCGCCTGGGGTGCGGGAAGCCCCTTCCTCACCCCACACCGCAAATGACAGCCTCCCCTCCAGCAGCCCAAAGCCCCAGCAAGGAGGTGCTCTGGAGCTGCACCAAGCAGCAAGGAGGTGGGGGGGGGGGGGGGGGAAGCGCCCACCTGCCCCTCCCTTCCCTGCTGGCCCCCCCGCAGAGCTGCCCCACCGGTGCCAGGGACTTCCGGGCTGAGCAGTGTGCCCAGTTCGACGGCCAGGACTTCCAGGGAAAGCGTTACAAATGGCTGCCCTACTATGGGGGTAAGTGGCGGTCCTCTGCACCGGTGCCCCTGCTGCTGCACCCCGCCTTGCTCTGCACTGCGCCCCACCTGTTTGGGATCTCCTCCGTACATTGATCTTCCATTACACAATTCCTACCACCATTTTACAGATGCTCTGTCGAATACATTAAACAACAACAAAAACAACCTTACGGTGCCACCATTCTCCCAGCGTGTGCCCACTGCAGCACAACAGCCGGGGTCATTTTGAGGTCTCTCCATCCTTTTTTCCATCTCTGTTTTTCAAACAAAGCCATGAAGGCCACGTCCTTGCCATGTGAAGCCCGGCTTTGTTTGGCCTGCTCCAGAAGTATTCCTCAAGGTGCACAGAAGCCTTGGGGAGGAGGAGTGCTGGTAGGGTGGGTCCATGTTTGGGCCAACTGCAGGCTGGGGCTGCAAGGGGCTTGGTATGGCAAGAGTCCATTTACTCAGGATCTCTGGCCCCCAAGGGCTTGCTCTGAAGAGCTTTGAGGAGAGTGGTTAATTTTTAGAGCAGTACGGTTTCAGAAAAAACACTTGTAGGTCATTAAAACATTTTAGAGGCGTCAGAAGATTCCTTAGGCTAATCCTGAGTGTTAGTTTTTACTGCCCATTGCAAAGGACTCCTGGGAAGTATGGTACTCTGGATTCCGAATCAATGAGCGTTTATATCCTGTGTGTACCAAGGGATGGGGAAGAGGGTCTTGGCTAGAGGAGTGGCCCCAGGGGAGCCTGTTGACATTCTTTGCTCTGCCTGGATAATTTAAATGCATCCGTATTATAGAAAAATAAGGGGGCACCTGGGTGGCTCAGTCGGTTAAGCGTCCAACTCTTGATTTCAGCTCAGGCTGTGGGCTTGCGGTTTGTGAGTTCGAGCCTTGCAGCAGGCTCCGTGCTGACAGCGTGGAGCCTGCTTGGGATTCTCTGTCTCCCTCTGTGTCTCTCTCAAATGTTTACAAAAATTTTTAAAAAGAAAAAAATTGGAACACAGAGGAAAGGTTAGAAAGGGTCATGCAAGGGATGCCTTCTTTGGTGTTTCACAGGATTGGTCTAGCATTCCATTTTAGCATTTTTCACGTTATTTTCTCTATATACATTTACGCATTTATAGTTATTACATAGCACCATTTTGCATCGTGTGTTATAAGCATCTTCACACGTTACCGCATAGTCCTTGTAATTCTTTATAGCAAAGTCAACGTGCATAGTATTCTATGAATAATTTCCTTAGAATAGCTGACTGTTAACACATGGGCTTGTCTATAAGGATGAGGTAGACCTCTTCAAGTGGCTGGCTTTTTATCTTGGGGTTTTTCTTCAACTTGATCCCCAGGAATGCAGCAGTTTTGTGGCCATCCCTTCTCCCTGGGGTGGGGCGGGGTTCTGAGCCACTGGGGGAACTGCTGCAAGGGCTTTCTCTCTCTGCCATCTGTGTGATTCTGGCCCCTGCCCATGCTTCCCTGTTCCTAGGGTAGGACTTGGTGCTTGCCCGGGGTCTCAGCTTTTCCCTTTGCCTGCTCAGCCCCGAACAAGTGTGAACTGAACTGCATTCCCAAGGGGGAGAACTTCTACTACAAGCACAGGGAGGCTGTCGTGGACGGGACGCCCTGCGAGCCTGGCAAACGGGACGTGTGTGTGGAGGGCAGCTGCCGGGTGAGTTGCGCCCCTGCCCACCTCCCACCTGCTCCCCGCCTCCCCCCATGCTGCCCATCCTGGCCTTGGGCTTATTGAAGGATGTCCCCCTGCCCACCCCCCACCCCCACACCCCTGTTACTCAGCCTGGGGCCCCACTCAGGCTTATTGCAGGATGTCCCCTGCCCCACGCCAGCAGGGCCAGTGGCTCTCATGAGCTTGATGTCTTACCATGACCAGCTTCTAAGGTGTCTTTGCATTGTAGATGCCCTAGGACCTTTTTACCTTTGCCCTTTGAAAACTTGAGCACCGGGATAAGAGCAACCCTCTGGGTGGCAAGTTACAGAAGCCCAACTAAAACTGACAAAGGGGGGGGGGGGGGGGGGGCAAGCCAGCGGGGGATGGGCTGGCGACTTCAGGTGCCTGGATGAGATTGCTGGAAACGTGAGGTGTGTACATGGCTACCAGCAGCTCCAAGCTCTGGCTGGAGAGGGTGCCCTCTTTCCAGGAGTTCCAGTGAGCTGGGGCTCCCTCTGATTTGTCTTGGCTCGGGGCATCCCGTGAACCACTCTCTTTGAGCAAGGCGTAGAACCTGCTGATTTGCCCACACCCACCGTTGGGGGGCTCTGTCCACACTGTGGGAAATGAGGTGTTGTTGCCAGAGGAGGGGAGACGGGTGCTGAGCCGGCAGAAGAGGTAGATGGCCGGCCACAGGCTAGATCCAGTGGTTACTCGGCCTCAATGGCTGATGAGTACTCACTGCTCTTCCCTGATCTGACCAGCGACCAGCGTTTGGATCCTGGTGTATCTGTGACTCCCTCTGGTCTTTTTCATCTCCTCCTCTGCCCGGTAGGCCGTTGGCTGTGACCACAACCTAGACTCATCAAAGGAGGAGGACAAGTGTCTGCAGTGTGGGGGTGATGGCACCACCTGCTACCCTGTCACAGGCACCTTTGATGCCAATGACCTCAGCAGAGGTGGGGGTTCTCTGGGGGCCCACAGGCCGTTGAGACGAGGGTGTGTTGCCTGTCCCTTCCTCTCCTGCCTTCCATTCCATCCGAGTAACCCTCATGGCACTGGGAGGGTCCAATCTGGCAAGTGTGATCTCACACTGCCACCAGCTGGATGCCCCTGCTCAACCCTCCCCCACGGTCCCCATTTCCTCCCCCCTCCCCCCAATCCCCAGTCAGTTTGGGCACCCAAGCCTGCCGACCCTTCTCGCCTTTGCGGGGCCACTTTCCCTTCTGGAGGACTCTTCCCCAGGCTGCCCAGCCCTGCCTGTCCCTGACCCCGTCTGTGCTGCCGGGGCATGGGTGGGCCCAGAGTATCCTTGCCCCTGCAGGCTACAACCAGATCCTCATAATTCCCTCGGGGGCTACCAGCATCCGGGTGGAGGAGGCGGCCGCCAGCAGGAATTTCCTGGGTGAGTGGTCCGGGGCGAGTCTGGGCTGTGGCAGGGCGGTGGGTCCTGCCCCAGCTGCTGACCGGGCGGCTCACCTCTGCGCAGCGGTGAAGAGCATCCGTGGCGAATACTACCTCAACGGGCACTGGACCATCGGGGGTGCCTGGGCCCTGCCTGTGGCCAGCACTGTCCTGCACTACGAGCGAGGGGCCGAGGGGGACCTGGCGCCTGAGCGGCTCCTGGCTCGTGGCCCCACCTCAGAGCCCCTAGTCATTGAGGTGAGGGGCTGCCAGGGAGCGGGGCCACCTGCTCCCCGAGAGGCGAGGTGGGGGGCCACTGTCCTGCTGATGAGGAGGGAATCCCACTGGGGGCAGGCCTCAGTGAGGACCTTCCCGCACAGCTCCTCAGCCAGGAGCCCAACCCAGGCGTGAGCTACGAGTACCACCTGCCCCTGGGCAGCCCCCAGCCCGGCTTCCACTGGAGCCACGGCTCGTGGAGTGACTGCAGCACCGAGTGCGGTGGAGGTGAGGGCAGCCCCGGGGAGATGGACACGTACGTGGGACATTTGCATGTCTTGGGGGTCACCTGGAGGAAACCCAGGGGTTGGGGACTCCATGAAGGGTCCCCCCCCCTTCTAAGCTAAGAGAACCAAAGAAGGCTTCCCCGAGGTGGCAGCGGAGGCTGGGCTCGGAGCCGATGACCATGCATCGTAGTAGGGTTCCATCACCAGCAGATCATACTCCTCAAACCTCACTTTCCTCATCTGTAAATCGGAGATGACGATGGCACGTATCCCAGGGGGGCAGCTGAGAATCAAGATGACACTTGGGGTGTGTCCAGAATGATGCCCAGCCCAGAGAATGCGTTTGGTGGAGGCTGACTGACCCCCGCTGCCCGCGATGGCCGGGCCTCTACAGGTCACCAGTCCCGCCCAGTGTTCTGCACCACTGACAACGAGGTCTACCCTGACCACATGTGCCAGCCCCAGCTGCGGCCGACTGACCACCGCCCCTGCAGCACTCACCCCTGTCCGCAGACCAAGCGGTGAGGCCTCTGCCAGCCTCCTCCACCCATGGTGGGGCCCGGGCCCTTGGATAGGAAGGCAGTGTGGTCTCTAGGCCACTTGAGCAAACAGTTGGGTTGGTCCAGGTCTCCCTACAGCTGTGGCCAGAGTGGGGCAGAGGCAGCTGCCACGGGGGGAAAGCAGTAGAGGGGCACGGGCATGAGATCCAGGGCTGTTCTGTCCATTCATGTGTGCCCAGTGCTCAGAATGTCCAGGCCGGTGGTGGGAGAGTGGGGAAAGGTACTGGAGGCCCTGTCTGAGCCAGCAGGGGACTTGGCAGATGCCAAGAAGTGGGCCAGGGATCGGGCCAGAGGGCCTGTGGGCATCAGCCATGCCTTTGTTCACGCACCAAGGACCTCTTACCTGCACCAGCCCAGAGCGTGGCACCTTGCTGGGGCCCAGCGTGCCTGCAGGAACAGGTAATCTGCAGGCCACAGGCTCCCTGCCACGTTGGTGCAGTCCTTCCACTCTCATGGCCTTGGTGGCAGCTGGCCTCTCGGGATGGTGGTGGGCTTGGCTTTGCATGGTGCACTCGGGGCTGCCCTGTCCTCTGGTCCTTGTGCCGCAGGGCCGGGCGGTACCACTCCACGAGTGGGTGAGCACGACCCCTCTGGGAGATGTCCCAGCTAAGGTCAGATGCAGTGGCAATGGAGTCTGGCTGGGGACAACAGGGCACCTGGTGAGAAGGAGAAAGGGGGATCGAGTGAGGACAGGAAAGCTAAAACGGGCAGCTAGGCTCCGTGCTGTAGGGACCAGTGCTCGGTGGTGGGAGATGGCAAGTGGAGGGCTTGGCCTTTGGTGCAGAGCTTTCTGCCTCCCCTCCCCCCTGCACCTGTCAGGCCTAGATTGGGGCCGGGTTGGGGGATCCCCAGTCCACTCTGCGTGTGACAGCCGGTGCCAGCTTGGGCCTGGGCTCCGGCTCCTGCTGCTGGGCCAGTCTGACTGGATTCCTGCACCCTGCCAGCTGGAAGACGGGGCCCTGGTCGCCCTGCTCAGCCTCCTGTGGCGGCGGCTCCCAGTCCCGCTCTGTCTACTGCGTCTTGTCCGATGGGGCTGGCGTCCAGGAGGCCACTGAGGAGGCCGGGTGTGCAGGCCTGCCGGGGAAACCCCCCACCATGCGGCCTTGCAACCTGCAGCGCTGTGCATCCTGGAGCGCGGAGCCCTGGGGAGAGGTGAGGCCCCTGCCTAGAAGGGGCTGGGGTGGGGGTGGAGGGAGGGGAGGAAATCAGGTGCTGGGCCTTGGGGGCCTGGGCGGCAGCAGAGTCTGACTGGGAGGCTTCTCCTCTGCTGGGGAAATAGATCCGGGGAGGTAAAGTGACCTGCTAGGCGGTCTTGGGAGCTGTGGCCAAGGCGGGGGCTAGGAGGAGCTTCTTGGACTCTTCCTCCTTCTCCAGGATCCCAGGCAGGGTGGGAAAGCTTTGCCTTGGCACGAAGAAGCAGCTGAGCCCATTGTTTGGGGGCGAGGGAGGAGCTGGCACTGTCTGGGGCTGCTGGTCAGCTGCTTCCGGCACATATATATGTCCAACTTTTGAATGAGGGGATGTGGAAAATGTACCTAAGCTTGGTGTCAGCAGCCCTGGTGTAGGCTGTGTGGCCTCAGAAGAGTGACTCAGCCTCCCTGAGCCCGGGAACTGGACGTGGGCAGTAGAGTGCTGTCCACCCTCCGTGCCGGCAGGTGCGCCTCCAGCTGTCTGCCCTGGCATGGCTCCTCCGGGCGAGGACGAGCTCCTGCTGACAGCCTGGTCCTTACAGTGTTCTGTCAGCTGTGGTGCCGGGATCCGGAAGCGGAGTGTCACTTGCCGTGGCGACGAGGGGTCTCTGCTCCAGGCGACAGCGTGCTCCTTGGAGGACCGCCCCCCTGTCTCTGAGCCCTGCGCGCATGAAGACTGTCCCCCCGTCAGCGACCAGGCCTGGCATGTGGGCGCCTGGGGTCTAGTGAGCACTTGCCTCCTTCCCTTCCATGGCTGCTGCCCAATCCCGGCCCCTTGGGTCTCTGACAGGTGGCCGGACACTTGACCATGCTTGGGTCTGACCTGCATTACCGGGCGTGTTCCCCCTTCCTTCCTTGTGGGGACCCCCAGCCTCAGGGTCTCTCTCCTTCTGTTTGCACGCCTACCCCGCGGGCCCCAGTGCTCCAAGAGCTGCAGCTCGGGCACTCGGCGTCGCCAGGTCGTCTGTGCCCTCGGGCCGCCCAGCCGCTGTGGGAGCCTGGCGCAGTCCAAGCCTGGGGAGGTGGAGCCCTGTAACACACAGCCCTGCCACCTTCCTCCAGGTGAGGACGGGGTGGGGGTGGAGGGGGTGTGGAGTGTGCCTGGCCTGACCTCTTTCCCCACCACGAACCAGCCAGTGCTTCCTAAGTGCCACCCGGGCACCGGCGGGGCTCCTGCGTCTCTGTCTGCTGAAGGCTTTGCCGCCCGCAGCCTCTAACTCTGTGCAGCCCTGTGATCAGCCCGGTTTCCCCATCTGAGGCCGTGTCCCCATCCCACCCCCCAAAGCCCACGTAACTGCCGTCACTCTTGGGATTGTTTCCTTGTGCCGCAGTGATTGCATACGGCTTGTCAGGCCTACTTGCTTCCTTAAGTCCCCGCCCCCCCCCCCAGAACTTAGTTCTGGGTCCCCCCCGCCCCAGAACTTACCACGAGGTGGGTACTCGGTAAATGTTTATCATCGAATGACTGCGTGATTGAGTACAGAGGAGGGAGGTGGTCCAGGAGAGCTTGTCCTCACACACTGCACCTGCCCTTGTCTTCCCCTTCCCCTCACCCCCATCCTGACTGGGAAAGACGTCCCAGGTACGAGGAGCTGCAGGACAAAGGGCCCAGAGGCCGGTACTTGCTCGGTGTAAGGACGGGATATAGAGGAAGAATGTGGGTTGGGGCTCAGCTGGGAGGAGGGGAGTGTGGGTGGCAGCCCCTGATACCGTAGGAAGGTGTGTTTGGCCCTGACGTGCTAGTGGTGAGGGCCCCGTGAGCCACGATGGTAGACCTCCAAGGGAGGCCCCTGCCACGGTGACTAAGAGCAAGTTGTCTGGAGTTAGCAGCTAACCTGAGTTTAAGTCTCTACTCTCTGTTGCTGACCAGCCACGTGGCTCTGGGTGAGTGCCTCTCCTCTCTGATTCTCGATTTGCCCACCCGTACAATGGGGTTAATAAGGGTGCTTTTCTTACGATGGTAACTTGGCACTGTGCCTGAACACACAGAGCTTGATAAGCAAAGGGTCGGAAGCAGTGGTGGTGAGGCCGTGTGGGGGCCCCTGGGCCAGGCTCCTGGGGTGCCTCGGCCTGGCCTGGCCTTTGTGGTGCATGAGCAGGAGGGCCCTCCAGCTCCTCTGAGTCCAGCCCCCTGGAACCACTGACACCTTCCTGGAAGAGGTGGCCCTGAGCCTGCCCCAGAGAGGCATTCACATAGGTAGAAAGGAAGGAAACAGAAAGCATTTCAGGCCGGGCTGAAGTGCAAAAGAAATAACCTTCACTGCTACTTTTGTAAAAATAATCTGTGTTCGTTGTAGAAAATTGGAAGGTATTAGGAAAGCAGCATATAGACAAGTGGGATTGCCTCGATCCCATGCGTTAGTGCGATGAATCGAGTGTGTTTCCTTGTTTTGTGTGTGGGATCTTGTGCATGCTTTCCCCCCTTACAGCCATTTGGTGTGTGAACGTTTTCTCATCTCCTGACTTCTCGACAGAAGTCCGTGATGGGCGGGAAGTTAGAACTTAGGTGGCTTCTGGGGTGTAGGTACTGTTAGTAACGCTGTGGTGCTAACTGGTGTGCCCAGGGGAGTCCTGTGGAAGCCTCTGCTCCTTCTCTTTCTAGAGCAGCACTTGCTGGCAGAAATAGAGGGCAAGCCACATCTGTTACTTAAAATGTTCTAAGAATCGCATTTAAAAAGTAGGAAGAAGGGGCGCCTGGGTGGCACAGTTGGTTGGGCGTCTGTTGATCTCAGCTCGGGTCATGATATCAGAGTTCATGAGTTTGAGCCCCACATTGCGCTGATGGTGCAGAGCCTGCTTGGGATTCTGTCTCTCTCCCGTTCTCTCTCTCTTTGCCCCTCCCCCTCTTGTGCGCCCCTGCTCGTTTGCTCTCTTTCTCTCTCTCTCAAAATAAATAAACTTAAGAAAGGAGAAAGAAACAGGTGAATTTATATTAAATAATGTTTTGTTCGGGGCGCCTGGCTGGCTTTGTCAGTAGAGCATGTGACTCAATCTCAAGGTAGTGCGTTAAGCCCCATGTTGTCGGGTATAAAGATTACTTAAAAATTTCCTTAATTTAAATAGTGTTTGACGGGAGGCCCCTGGGTGGCTCAGTCGGTTAAGCGTTCAACTTCGGTTCAGGTCATGATCTTGTAGTTCGTGGGTTCGAGCCCCACATCGGGCTCTGTGCCGACAACTCAGAGCCTGGAGCCTGCTTCGGATTCTGTGTCTCCCTCTCTCTCTCTGCCCCTCCCCTGCTTGTGCTCTGTCGCTCTGTCTCCCCCTCAAAAATAAACATTAAAAACATTTTTTAAAATAATGTTTTATTTAACCCAATTAAATATTTTTAACATGTAAGCATTATACAAAATGGCAGGATATTTTACATTCTTTTTTTCACAGGATTAAAAAAAATAAATCTTCTAAATTCTGTGCATCACTCAGACAGCATATCTTAATTCAGTTGCTAAAATTTCACTGGCATACTTGATCTATATTTAGATTTCATAAAATGTACAGTTGGAAGAGTAGACTCGCATACTGAAGTTGTTCCAAACATACTGAAGCATTTTCCACTAAGTGAATCGAGCATCAGTTTTTAAGTGTAAAACTAAGTTAATTCTAATTAGAATAAACGTAAAACTCAGTTTCTCGGTCACTCTGGTCACATTGCAAGTGCTCAGTAGCTAGCTCTGCCTGAGGCCAGTAGGGCCCCAGAGCCAGCCCTCAGCCAGGGTGCGGGGGTGGTGGCAGGAGGTCTGTCCAGGGTAGGTGGGGCTCTTAGGGCTGGGGACCTCAGGCCGGGACTGCCGATTAAATTTGTCCGATAGGGGGGCGCCTGGGTGGCTCAGTCAGTTAAGCGTCTGACTTCGGCTCAGGTCACGATCTCACTGTCTGTGAGTTCGAGCCCCGCGTCGGGCTCTGTGCTGACTGCTCAGAGCCTGGAGCCTGTTTCAGATTCTGTGTCTCCCTCTGTCTCTGACCCTCCCCTGTTCATGCTCTGTCTCTCTCTGTCTCAAAAATAAATAAACGTTAAAAATAAATCAAAAAAAAAAAAATTTGTCCGATAGGCCCAGGGGAGCCATTGAAAGCTTTGCAGGTTGATAGTGACACCGTGAAAGCTATTTAGGAGGACAGTCTGAAGCGGAGCCTGTGGGAGCAGGACCCTGGCGGGGAGCAGGCTGCAGAAATGCAAGCGCTCACAGGGCCCCTGAACAGGAAGGGCCAGGCACTTGCCCAGCAGAGCCTGGGGCCCACGTGTTGCGTGGGAAGGGGCCCCGGACTCCAAGTTAAGCGTGAAAGGTGGGTGAGAAGAGGGGAAGCCGGGGCAGGGTGGGCTGGGCAGAAAGGTGCCTTTCAAGTTGAGCTGACAGAGGGGCCTGCTGGCTGGGGACTGTGAATGCGGTTCTGGGGGTGCCCGCAGGAGATGACGGAACTGGGGAGAGAGAGTGTGAGTCTGCCTTCTCCCGGGGTTCGGCCTGGGTGGGAGAGGCCATGAAACGAAAACAGATTTTACTGCGTATCTGCTAGGGTCTTCCGGCCCTAAAGTATTTTTTGAATATTCCCTGGGGGCTGGCAAGAGCTAGTCCTTGTGGAGATGGAATTTTCACTTAGTTTTTATAACTTTGTTCCATTATGTGGTAATATGCGTATTGTGGAAAATTTGAAACCCACAGATAAATAGAAGGAAGTCCCCCACTCCCATCCCCCCCCCCCCCACGAAGTGCTCAGAACCTTTCACCAGGAGCATTTTGGGGTGAGTGCTGTTATGCATCATAAAAAAAAATTCCTGTTCATACTTACTCAGCCTTTTGTGGTTTTCTCTATTTTATGACAAAAAATCTTTTTGATAACTCTGAAGTGGTTAAGTATATACCATAAAATTCACCCACTGGAATGGTATAATTCATGATTTTTCGTAAGTTTATTACCAAGCTGGACAATAAGGTGGTGAAAAAAAATCTCTCATGTTTCTGAGCAGACCCTCATCTGCTCAGGAAGACAGGCCTGGTTGTTTGTTTAATTCCAGTATATTTAACATACGGTATTATATTAGTTCGAGGTATACAATGTAGGGATTCAACAATTCTCTACTCCGTGCTTATCGTGGTAAATGTGCTCTTAATCTCCTTTACCTATTTCCCCCACCCCCCACTCGCTGCCCCTCTGGTAGCTATCAGTTCTCTGTGGTTACAAGTCTGTTTCTTTCTCTTTTTTCTTTGTTCATTTGTTTCTTAAATTCCACATATGAGTGAAATCCTAGAGTTTTGTCTTTCTTTTATTTTGCTTAGCATTATACTCTCTAGATCCATCCATGCTGTTGCCAATGGCAAGATTTCTTTCTTTTTATGGCTGAGTAATATTCCATTGTGCATATGTACATCTTCTTTATCCATTCATCAGTCGATGGACACTTAGGTTGCTTCCAAATCTTGGCTACTGTAAATAATGCTGCAATAGACATAGAGATACATACATCTTTTTGAATTAGTGTTTTTGTATTCTTTCGGTAAATAGTAGTAGAATTACTGGGGGTCATGTGGTAATTCTACTTTTAATTTCTTAAAAATCTTTATTTTTGAGAGAGAGAGCGCGCAAGCAAAGAAGGGTCAGAGAGAGAGAGAGAGAGAGAGAGAGAGAGAGAGAGATACAGAATCTGAAGCAGGCTCCAGGCTCTGGGCTGACAGCACAGAACCCGATGTGGGGCTCAAACTCATGAACTGTGAGATCATGACCTGAGCCGAAGTTGGACGCTTAATGGACTGAGCCACCCAGGCACCTAGTTTTAATTTTTTGAGGAAGGCTGGAGAAGAATTTTAAACATACAGAATAGTTGAAGAACTGTATAGCAAGCAGCCATGTACCCACACTTAAATTCTATACCTGCTATTTTGTTATATGTGCTTTTTCATGATTTACTCCCATCCCTTCATCTGTCAATCAAATTGTGTTGTTTTTTTTTTTTTGAAACAAGTGTTTTTAATATGGAATTTTTTTATTGAGGTGAAATTCACGTAACATACCGTTAACCGTTGCAAAGTGTATGCTTTGGTGCTGTGTACTCACAATGTTGTACGATCACCCGCTCTCCTCTAGTTTTAAAATATTTCATCACCCATAAAAGCACCCTGCTGTACCCCCTTAAGTAATCACTCCCCGCTAACCCTAACTGCCTTCCCTGGTAAGCTGATATGCTTTCTGTCTCTATGGATTTGCCTGTTCTGGATGTATCGTATAAAAGGAATAATACACCTTTTGTGCCTACCTTTCACTCAGCAGGATGTTTTTATTTTTCTCAATTTTATAATTTTGAGAGAGAAGAGAGTGCGGTGTGGGGGGAAGGGCACAAAGAGAGGGGGAGAGAGAATCTTAAGCAGGCTCCACCCCCCCCCCCCCAAAGGGGTCCGATCCCGTGACTGTGAGGTCATGAGGACTTGAGCTGAAATCAAGAGTCAGATGCTTAACCGACTGAGCCACCCAGGCAGCAGAATGCTTTTAAGGTTCATCCAGGCTGGAGCACACATCAGCACGACCTCTTTCTTATGGCTGATAACAATTCCATGGATATGCCACAACCTGCTTATTCATTCTTCTATGGATGTATATCTGGGTTGTTTCCATCTTTTGGCCCTAACAGATAAGACTACTATAAATGCTCATGCGTAAGTTTCTGTGTGGACATGTGTTTTCATTTCTCTTGGGTGTATGCCTTAGAAAGTGCTAGGCTCTATGATAATTCTATGTTTAACTTTTGGAGGAATTGCCGAACTGTTTCCATGGTGGCTGCACCAATTTACATTTCCACCCACGGTGCCTGAGGGTTCCGGTTCACCCACGTCCTCACTGACATTTCTTACTTCAGCCTTTTTTTTTTTTTTTAAATTTTTTTTCAACGTTTATTTATTTTTGGGACAGAGAGAGACAGAGCATGAACGGGGGAGGGGCAGAGAGAGAGGGAGACACAGAATCGGAAACAGGCTCCAGGCTCTGAGCCATCAGCCCAGAGCCTGACGTGGGGCTCGAACTCACGGACCGTGAGATTGTGACCTGGCTGAAGTCGGACGCTTAACCGACTGTGCCACCCAGGCGCCCCACTTCAGCCTTTTTGATGACTGCCATGCTAGTGGGTGTGAAGGAATATCTCACTGTGGCTTTGATTTGCATTTCTGTAATGACCGATGATGTTGAACATCTTTTCGTGTGCTTATTGGCCATTTGTATATTTTCTTTGGAGAAATGTCTGTTCAAGTTCTTTGCCCATTTTTAAAATTATTTTAAGATTTTCATTTTTTAAAAGTTCATTTATTTTGAGAGAGAGAGAGTGAGCAGGTGCACAAGCCGGGGGGTGGGGGGTGGGAAGCAGAGAGGAGGAGAGACAGAATCCCAAGCAGGCTCTGCACCATCAGTGCAAAGCCCAATGCGGGGTTCGAACTCAAAAACTGGGATTGTGACCTGAGCAGAGATCAAGAGTAGGGTGCTTAACGGACTGAGCCACCTAGGCACCCCTTTAAGATTTTAAAGTCATCTCCACACCCAGCGCAGGGCTCAAACTCACGACCCCGAGATCAAGAGTTGGCTGCTCTACCAACTGAGCCAGCCAGGTGCCCCACTTTGCCCATTTTTTAATTGGATTGTTTGTCTTTTCATCAGTTCAATCTAAAAGTATCATTGCTTTGTTTTACATAGTTGGGATCAAACACCGATGCTAATTTTATATCTGGGTTTTCTTTTTTTTTTTATTTTTTTTTTTTAAATTTTTTTTTTCAACGTTTATTTATTTTTGGGACAGAGAGAGACAGAGCATGAACGGGGGAGGGGCAGAGAGAGAGGGAGACACAGAATCAGAAACAGGCTCCAGGCTCTGAGCCATCAGCCCAGAGCCTGATGCGAGCCTGACGCGGGGCTCAAACTCACGGACTGCGAGATCGTGACCTGGCTGAAGTCGGACGCTTAACCGACTGCGCCACCCAGGCACCCCTATCTGGGTTTTCTTTTTGTGCAACATGTAACATTAGTGTTTTCTAGGACTAAAGACTCTTGAAACAGGGGAAGGGTGTTTTAGGAAATCACAGGTCTGCTCGTTCTTGCTTCTGCTGTCCTGGGTGCCCCAGGCGCTGCCTGAGTGGTGGGGTGGGACCACGTGGTGGTTAGCGTGGCCATGGCTGGCCTGACCGCCCACTCCCTGCAGGCGTCCCCAGCATGCAGGACATGCACAGCAGCCCCAGGGATCCTCGCATATCGCTGGGGCCTCAGGCAGCCCCCACCTCAGGTGAGAAGCTCAGTGGAAGCCCCCAACACAGGGCCCTGGAGATGGAGGTTGGGGGGGGGCAGGGGGTTTAGGGGGGCTGGGGAGAGGTAGGTCTGGTGTGGACATAGATGGAGAGGTGTCCAGGCGGACACCTCATGTGTCTTTTGCTTCCTCTTCTTTCTAGATTCCAGAGGCCAGTGGTGGGCCCGTCAAGAGCAGCCCTCGGCCCAAGGAAACCCCACAGGAGCCCAGGGCCTCCACCTGCCAGCCCCAGCCCCCTCTTTTCAGCAATCCCCACACAGACAGTCTGGCTTGGCACCCCACGACTGCAGACTCAGCCCCTATGGGTGCTGTCCTGATGGCCACACTGTATCTCTTGGGCCACAGTGGCAGGGCTGTCCTGGGGCCTCATGTCAGCAGAGCAGGTAGGTGCCTCTTCCTCTTCACCAAGTCAAAGAAGGGAGATGGGGCCGGGGGATGGTATCTGATGGGCAGGGCAGCGACTCCGAGCAGAGAGGGGGTGGGGTTTGCAGAGCTCAGAGATGGGACTTCCGAGGTTGTTCTCTCCCAGCTGCCCTGATTGTGCAGTCTTGGGGACTCTGCTTCCTGTCACTACCTTCCTAATGTGCAGAGTGGGGGTAAGAATTTCCGCTTTCGCTACCGAAGTCAGCCCTTGAGGTGTAGCCTGAGGCTCTGGGAAGGCACGTGGGATAGAATTCTAGCTTCCAGATCCAAACCAGGCTACCGGTCTCTCCGGGGCTGGGGCGCTGAGAGCCCAGACTTTGGGGCCAGCAGCCCGGTGGCGATCTATCCGCTGTGTGCTGCGTGATCAGGGCAAGTTATTTCTTTGGTCTTGGCTTCCTCTGTGAGACTGGGAACAGTGACAGCCACAGGCCGGGTTGCCGTGAGGATGGAACCATCCCAGGGTGCCTGGCACACGGAAGGAGCTCTGATGTGTTCCTCTTTCCCCTTCCTTCCCGTCTTGTGGTTGACAGAGCTGAAACAGGAGGAGGGCTCTGCTCACCCCTCTTTTTCCCATCCCCCATCTACTGCGATTTTGTAAAACCTACCCGGGAAGCCAAGATTTGTGCAGGCTTAGTGAATTTTCTCCTCGGTTAGGGGTTTCCGCCTTGGGTAGGAGTTGAGGAACCGTCAGGTATCAGGAGACACGGCCCTGCTTATCGTGTTACTGCTGTGTCCCTGGCTGCCACTGAGTGGTTGGTGGATGTGGCTTGGCATGCAGAATGGTATGCCCCACGTGGAAGGACACGGTGTCTTCCGTTCGGATCCTCAACTGCTCAGCTCCCAGCGTAGGGAGCCTCAGAGCCCAGTTTCCAGGATGCTGGAAGCTCGGGGGATCCCGTGAGGGGGGGATCAGGGGTTGGGTGGTGACGAGACTGCTGTGTGATGCTTGTCTAGGTACGGGTGCTGCCCTGATGGGGTGTCTGTGGCTGAGGGGCCCCATCAAGCTGGCTGTGCAGCATCTTACAGCAGTGATAAGACCGGGAGAAGGCCGGTGTCGAGAGCAGTGGCTTCCACAGTAAGTGTCTGGTTCACATGAGTGGGCAGGAGTCCCGCACCTGTTCAGCGCCACTGTGATCCAGACTCTCTGCACTTGGGCTTCAGATACGGGCCTAGGCTGGAGTGGGGGTGTGTGTGTGCAGGGGGGTCCATCTGACCTTCCCCTGAGGCTGAGGTACTGCAATTCTGTCCCTCCCTCTTCCTGTCCTCCTTCCCCAGGCAGCCTAGAGTCCCCACCAAGAGCCAGACCTATTCCCAACTTTCCCAGTCTGGGTTTCCTCCGCAGGCTCCCGAGGCCCACCAGCCCCAGGCTCAGCAGAAGGAGCCCAGTGAGTGCCAGGGCTCCCGGTTTGGCTGTTGCTATGATAATGTGGCCTCTGCTGCTGGTCCTCTTGGGGAAGGCTGTGTGGGCCAGCCCGGCTATGGTGAGTAGGCTGTGGTCCCGCTTTGCCCCCCTTAACCACCACAGAGCCCCACCCAGATCTTCCTACCAGCTCAGTTGTTCATTCATTTCTTTGACAAATATTTACTGATCACCTGCTAGGTGCCAGGTCAGAGAACAGTGCCATATTGTTCTTGTTTCCAACAGTTTGCATTTGAAACCATCTGACTGCTTGTGGGAGTTGGGGAGAATTGTAGGCAGGGCGCCCACAGACAAGGAAGGCTTGTCCTGCCCTGCCCCCACCATGGGGGCTCAGCCCCTTCCAGAGGCAGAGATGGTATAGGGTGGTCAGAGCCCAGATGGACAGGGATGTCCCCACCCTGCCTGGGATGAGTCCTAGAGGGAGGTCATTGAGACTGGAGTATGGGATATGTGGGTGGCACCGGCAGGGACCCTCATGGGGACCTCAAAAGCCAGATGGGCTGGTGGTCAGAGTCTGCAGGAGGCTGGTCCCTGGATGGGACCCCCGCAGGGGCCAGCCACAGTCACCTCTGTGTCTGTAGAGAGGCAGAGCAGGGCTGTGCTGGGAAGGTAGGCCATTAGAACAGGCTGGCTGGGGGCTGGAGGCGGGTCCAGAGGCTGGGCCTCTTCACAGATGTCCCTGCGAGCTGAGGGCTGGGTTCTTATCGCGAGCTAAGTACATCAAAGCCAAGCTCGGTGCGTGTGTATTCTAGGGACCTGGGTCAGGCATGGGGAGGGGCATGAGGGAGCCAGTCCAGGTTGCTCATGGCCCTGACCTTCTGGAGCGCTCTAGTTCTGTGGGTGGAGGTGGACGGGCTGATCCCGGAGGCTGCTGGTGATCCCAGCCCAGGTAGGTCTGGGCAGTGAGCAGACTGTCCCCAGGGCCAGGTCAGGGGCCCAGACAGGGGTGTAGACCCGCTCTGTGATCTTGGGAAGAGCCTGGCTCCCACATCTGAGGCTGAGGGGGCGGTGGGCACTTCTTGGCAGAGCTCTGCCGGGGCAGTATCTGCAGCCTGATGACCTGCCCCCTCCCTGCCCCTTCCCTGCCCCCTCAGCCTACCCTGTGCAGTGCCTGCTGCCCAGTGCCCATGGCTCCTGCACGGACTGGGCCGCCCGCTGGTACTTCGTCCCCTCCGTGGGCCAGTGTAACCGCTTCTGGTATGGCGGGTGCCATGGCAACGGCAATAACTTTGCCTCCGAAGAGGAGTGCGTGAGCAGCTGCCGGGGACGTCAACAGGAGGCCCCCAGACCTGAGCCTGGGGCCTCTGGCCAGAGCACCCATAGAGACGGTGGTGGCAGCGGTCCTGGAGGCCAGCAAGAGGCCGGCGGGCACAGGATGGGGGCCACAGTCCAGACGAGGCCCTTGCTTTCTGGTGGCCTCTGGTGGCGAGACCGAGAGCCTGGGCCTGGAGAGGAGGGCCACGCCCAGGCCTTTGGAGAGAGGCCCCTGGGCCAGGAGCTTGGGCCCAGTGCCCCTGGACTGGGCGGAGATGCCGGGAGGCCAGCGGCGCCCTCCCACAGCTCTTCCTACAGGTGAGGCCTACCTTCCCCAGGTCAGGAGCTGCGCCCATTGGAGCTCAAACCCTGAAGTCCGCAGATCCTCCCGCCCCATCCCTAACCTCAAATCCTCCAAATGGTCTTGCCTGGGGGAGGCCTTCGCCAATAGATGGTGGGTGCCTGGGTCTGGTCTTGCCGGGACGCCCCGGGGCCTGTCTAGTTGGAAAAGCTTGCAGGCTTCGTGACCTTTGGCAACTCATCCAACTTCTCCAAGCCTCCGTTTCTTGACCTGCAAAATGGTGATATTCTCTCTTAGATTTAGTATGGGTTCCACAGTCTTAGGACTATGTCCTATTAATGAGACTTTTGGGGAGAATAGAAACAAATAAGTAAAACTTGAAATTCCAAAGGGATCAAGCAGTGGTTTAGTTCTACACGGGAATCTGGTGTGAGCTCTCTCTCCCGACCTCTCCACGCCCTCTCCACGCCCTGGGCTCTGTACCTCCCTTGCTGCTGTTGCAGGACCAGGTTGAGGTAGCTACGTCCAAGGGCATGGTGGGGAGCCAGGTGGGGGTGGAGTGAATTCCTGAGGCCACGGGCTTCTAGAGCTGGGCCTCCCAGGGGACCCTGTGACCCCAAAGGTGCCTGAGACAGGATGGGCACCGAGCTCTCTGTGGTGGGACACTGATGGAGGGGGAGTCCCTGGCCCTGGCGCTTGTGTTGTTAGTGCAGGTTCTCACCCCCACTTCCCAGGATCAGCTTGGCAGGCTCAGAGCCAGCCCTGGTGCAGGCGGCCCTGGGGCACTTAGTGCGCCTCTTCTGTCAAGACGACACCTCCCCGGAGCCCCATGCCAGGTGGCAGAAAGATGGGCGGCCCATCTCCTCTGACAGGTGATCTCCCCTGGGATGGGAGGGTGCAGGCAGGGTTACGGTAGGAGCACTCGGGCCTGAGAGGGCCTGGGCTCACTGTCCTCCTCATTCAGGCACAAGCTGCAGCCCGATGGCTCCCTGGTCATCAGTCCCCTGCGGGCAGAGGACACTGGCACCTACAGCTGTGGCAGCAGCAGGCCAGGCCGTGACTCTCAGAAGATCCAGCTTCGTGTCACAGGTCTCTGTCCCCACCCCACGCCCAGCGGAACAGGTCTCCGTCCCCACCCCACACCCAGAGGATTGTCATGGCCCCAGGTGGGAGGCGCTGGCTGGGAGGGCCTGAGCCAGGGTGCTCCCACGCTGGAGGGGCCCCTTCTGCTGGCAGGGACCACGTGCTCCAGTTGGGCCAAGGTGGATGTCTTCCCCCTTGTGACCCTCATTTTTCCACATGTCCCTGGCCAGCCTCGTGGCCCTTCCTTCCTTCCTTCCACTGCGTTCCCCCCACAGCTCACCCCTTCTCCTGGCCTCATGACAGGGGGTGACGTGGCCGTGCTGTCTGAGGCTGAGCCAAGGCACTTCCCTCAGACCAGGGACCCAGCCCAGGGCCACAGTCCTCGGGAGTCCAGCCTAGTGGGGAACGCGGGGGGCCTGGGGGCTGTCTCCTCCTTGCAGATTCGGCCCACGACCAGGTAACAGTGCAGCAACGCCATTCTGCTCTCAGCCTACCCCACTGGAGGGCCAGGGCCGATGGGGGTCCCAGTGGTGAAAGGAAGGGAGAGTGGGTGGGGTCACAGGGCTCTGCCGGGCAAGGACTAGGGAGGTGGAAAGGGAGCCCTCTTCCCTTCCCCAAACAGTTGAGACTGGCCCATGGCCCAGGGCACAGGAGCTGAGGGAAGGGAAGCAGAGCAGGAGCTGGGGAGCCTGAGATGGCCTTGATGGGAGTTTATAGAGGGGTTGCAGAAGGCTGGAGGGGCCCAAGTCAAAGTGCCTTGTGCAGGGCAGATGTGCAGGATCTCAAAGCAGATGTGCAGGGCAGGGAGCAGACAGTCGAGATTCTGGGGTGGTGGTTGGGGGTGGGGAAAGCGAGAAAGCTGGAGGTGGCTTTTAGACTGCCCCGGGTAGTTATTGGTGATGTCCTGACCAGCACAGAGCAGCTTTCTTAGGAAGCTGAATGTGGCTGGAGAGGGAGAAGGGGTCAGATGCTTGTGCAGACAGAGTCCCCCCTCTCATGGCTGTGGGGTGCTTGTTCTGCAGGCTGCTTCTGGACAGGAACCAGCCTAGGGTGGTGGACGCCCATCCAGGTCAGCGGATCTGGTTGACCTGTCGTGCTGAGGGCTTCCCACCCCCAGCCATTGAGTGGCAAAGAGATGGGCAGCCCCTCTCTTCCCCCAGGTTTGTTCAGCTCCTCTCTTCCCCTTCCTGTCCCGCCTTTAGCCCCTGACCCTGTCCAGGCCTCAGGGGAGGGAGCTGCCAGGTGCCACCTCTGGTCAGTCCTGAGCAGGACTCCAGGGGCTCTTGAGAGAGGATACCGCTGGGGGTAGGGCTCCTTGGGCAGACCAACATTTGGGTTTCTGGGTCTTTCCACTGTGGTTAGTGGACAGAAGTAACAGGCTAGCTAAGGAGAGGTGATGGCTGAGGGACAAAATGGAGGCAGACCCATTTCTGGCTGTAACCATAACAGCATGGGCATGTATCGTGCCCATTAGGAGTATGAGGCTTGTTCTCTATCATACAGTCTTCAGGAGAGCCATGTGGAGGTAGGTGCTATTTTATCCCCATTTTACACACAGGAGTTTAACAGCAGGACACATCCTTTTTTTTTTTTTTTTTCCAACGTTTATTTATTTTTGGGACAGAGAGAGACAGAGCATGAACGGGGGAGGGGCAGAGAGAGAGGGAGACACAGAATCGGAAACTGGCTCCAGGCTCTGAGCCATCAGCCCAGAGCCCGATGCGGGGCTTGAACTCGCGGACCGCGAGATCGTGACCTGGCTGAAGTCGGACGCTCAACCGACTGCGCCACCCAGGCGCCCCTTACACACAGGAGTTTAACACGCCATACAGCTCCTAAGTGGCAGAACCAAGATTTGAGTCTACTGAATGAGCAGAGCAAGAACTAGAAACCCAAACCAGAATTATTTTGTATTTGGAGATTGGAAATGGTTTATTGCCAGGCTCAGGTACCTTCAGGTAAACGAGAGAGCTCAGCATCTGGAGGACCTCAGGGCCTAAGGTTAGATTTGCTCAGACCCCACTGAAAGGGCCACTCAGCCTCTTACGGGGAAAGGAAGACCCTGCCCCACCCCCATTTCTTCCAGCCCCTTAGGGGAGGAGCTACCTGACTGTGCTTTGTCTCTAGACACCAGCTGCAGCCCGATGGCTCTCTGGTCATCAGCCACGTGGCTCTGGAAGATGGCGGCTTCTATGCCTGTGTCGCTTTCAACGGGCAGGACCGAGACCAGAGATGGGTCCAGCTCAGAGTTCTGGGTGAGGTGGCAGTCCTGAGGGTCAGGTGGCACAGGTGGGGCAGGACTGGTGTGGTGGCTGACAATGCCTCCTCCTTGCCCTAGGGGAGCTGGCCATCACAGAGCTGCCCTCTACTATGCTGGTGCCAGAGGGTGACACGGCCAGGCTGCTATGCGTGGTGACAGGAGAAAGTGTAAACATCAGGTGGTCCAGGTAAGGCTCTATTCCAGGCAGGCCTGGCCCTCAGAGGCTTGTAGTTTGGAGAAGACGCTCACCTTTCTGCAGCGATACTGCTGTTCCCACTGCCTGCAGCCTTCATTCTTCAACTCCTACCCGCAGGCCTGGTGGCAGCACCCCCTTCCCTACACAGCGGGGCCCCACAGAACTGCTCTCTTTCTTTTGGTTGGGCTACACCAGGGTCTCTCAACCTCGGCACTCTTGACATTTCAGACCTGATAACTTTTGGTGGTTGGGGCAGTTCTGTGTATTGTAGGGTGTTCAGCAGCATCCAGGCCACCCACCCACTAGATGCCAGTAGTACTTCTTCCCAAGTCATGACAGTTGACAGTATCTGGAGATGGGGATAGAGAACCACTGGGTATACTCAGCTGTGGGGACTTCAATGTCGTTTACACCAGATCAGTTGCTCTTTTATTCGTTCATTCCTTCTTTCAGCAACTTTTTTTTTTTGGCCCCCTTCCTCCTTGCAGTGTGTCAGCAATAGCCTAGGCTCTGGGGGTCTTGGGGGTAATCTGAGCCCCCCAGATACTCCCCAGGCAGGAGATAGCCCTGTGTCCCCTGAGCTCTAGAGGTCTGCCATCAGTGCTATCTGTGCACAGAGCGCTGAGGCTGCCTTCTATCTGGGGGAATCAAGGGGTGGCAACGCAGGTGACTTTGGCTGAGCCTTAAAGGCTGAGGAGGGGAAGGATGTTCTTGATCAAGCCTCAGAGGTGAGTACTGGAGAGATGATGTCAGGATGGGAAGGGGCCTGCACGCAGGAGGGAGGCAGGGAGCCTCCGTAGGCTTTTCAGCAGTTGTTCTTGGTGCAGGCCTACCTTGATCAGGTCGGGCCTCTGATTATCCTTTCAAGCTTCTGTCTTCAATTTTGCTTCTCCTTGATCTTACCAGCAGCAAACATGCTCAGGAGCCCCCGCTTTCAAAGCATAACATAAAAGATACCCTCCTCTGACCCTGTATTTCCCTGCAGACCCTGGCCTCATCTGGAGTCTCCCCCTCACAGTATGGCTGTTCATACTGGGGGTCTCCACCTGTTCACCCCCTACTCACAGCTCAGTCCTTGCACAGGGGCTCACATCCACCCACCACTCCAAGATACTGACCTGTTCCTAAACGTTCTGGACGTGATCTCAGTCCCCACATGACCTGAGAGGTGTTCTTCTGCTGACCATTTGCACCTCCTGACATGCTCCCTCCTCTTGGCTCCAGGAAACTACCGTTTTCTGGTGTTCTTCCTTCTCTGGCTGCTGCTTCTGTTTTGCTGGCTGGTTTACCTTTTCACACCAATGTCTCGGAGGCGGATGCACCTCAGGGTCTGTCCTTGGTCCTTGGCTTGTCTAACTTCACCTTGGGCAACCTTGTTGACACGTGGTTTCCAGGGCCACCCAGTGCTGATAGACTATCTGGGTCCAGACCTCAAATCCAATGCCTCTTTGTATCTCATGGGCACCCAGAATGCCAAATGGTGGAAAAGAACACTCACCGTTGACCTGTCCTCCCCACCCTGGATCTCCCCATGGTGGGGGGGCACCGCCATTACCCAGCAACACTGAGTAACCACTGTGGTCCTTCATTTCTCCTCCCTTACCTTGCACATCCTCCCCTTACCCATGTGTGCACTTCTGTAGGAGTTACTTTCCTGCTCTCTGCTTTCAGGCTTGTCCTAGGCCCAGTCATCCAAGGGCAGATACTCTGTCAGTCCTGCTTAGTTCACACTCTTCCATTCCCCCCAGGGTCCAGTCCAAACTCCCATTGAGGCCTTGTCCACTTCTCTCCCTGCTCTGACCATGGCCTCTGCCTTCCAGCTCCCAAGTCCCTTTGTTCTCCCGTTGCCTGGCCAGCTGCTCCTCCTCATTCTCAAGTCGGGTCTCAGCTCTGTCTTCCTCAGGGAGGGTGCCCCTAAACACCTACCCCAGTACCCTCAAGGCAGGGAGCGGTTACGTCGCTTGCCCAGCACAGGGCCCGGCACCACACAGCTGCTGGAAAGACTGTTGTTGATAAAAAGTGAGAGTGGGGCTTCCCTTGTGGGTAAGAGGCAAATTCATGGTAATTTAGACCAGTGTGCTCAGTTGGGGTGAGTTCCCTCTACTTTTGAGTTATTTTGCTCTGATAGTGTTCTTTTTGGCACCTGGCCCATCTCTTTCTTGAAGTGAGGGTCCTCTGTCCACAGTGATTACCTCCTCCCTTTGTCTCTGGGCTCTGGGGCGCTGGGAGTGGCAGCATGGCCTCCTAGGGCCTCAAGACCAGAGGCCGTGGACGGCTCTCCCAGTGTCCTGTCCCCTTCAGGAATGGGCTGCCGGTGCGGGCCGACGGGCATCGAGTCTACCAGTCCCCAGATGGCACACTGCTGATCCACAACCTGCAGCCCAGAGACGAGGGCTCCTACACGTGCAGTGCCTACCGTGGAAGCCAGGCAGTCAGCCGCAGCACGGAGGTGAAGGTGGGCCCGCCGGGTAAGAGGCCCACCCCAGGGACTCACTTGTTCCCAAAAGCTGGCTTTGTGCTGCGCAGGTCTGAGTGACTCTAGTCTGAGTCCTCGCTCACTCTGCCGGTTCCTGGTAGTGTCACCTGTGGCAAGGGGCTCTCCTGAGCCTCCCTCTTCTCACATATACAGAGGGCTATTCCACCACCTGAGAGGGCTGCGGCGAGGTGAGGGAAATAATGCAGATGATGGGCATCTGGTAATAGCTTAATAGATGACGTTAAATATTTAGATTTACTGATCTTGAGAAGTAGGATATATAATACTTAAGGCAGACCATTAAGTCTGTCCATTCTAATTAGGGTGGCAAAAAGTGCTCCTATGATTGAGAAGTGCCTTCATGGCCCTTTGACCATATAACTCAGAAAGGGAAGGGCAACTATTAGTATCGTCATCTTACAAATGAGACAGATATCCAGAGACCTTATGTGATGTCTCCACAAGTCACACGGCAAATTAGTGGCCCAGTTGGGACTACAACCTAGTCCTCATATTTAATTTTCTTTCCCTAAAGTATCACACCTGTTACTGGGCAGTTTGATATTTTAGTTTTATATTCTCTAGCTCTTGCTCTGAGTTACATTTCAATAAACCTAAGCACCATATCACAAAACAATTAGTTTCATACCACTAAGAAAAACATGCTGTTAAAGACACAGTGCTAAGAGACCATCAATTCAGATGCAGTCTAATTTGAGAGGTGTTAATTTGGAGATGCACTTATTTTCACACTTTGAGAAGATGGATTCATAAGAGCCCTATATTCAAATAAGCCAGAGGGAAGGGGGCAGAGGAGGCTCTGCCCTGTGCCCAGCCTGCCCTTCCACGTGTCCTTGGTCTGGGTTCATGGATTGCCTGGACAGCAGGGCAGTGCCCCAGGCCGAGCCACCAGTTCTCAGGAGGCCTCCAGCAGGCTTGGGGAACGGTGCCAGGGCCTTTCCTGTCCGCCTGGACGTTCACAGCAATCAGGGCTGCAGCACTGCACCAAGAGTGTTGTTTTGGCAAGGGCTGTCAGGCCTGGCTGCCGCCTGTCTGCTACGCCGAAGGTGGGAACTGGCCAGTGCTAGAGGATGAAGGTCTGCGGTAGAAATGCTGCTTAGTGGATCAGACTGACATGTAGGCTTCCAGTTTGTGAGCTCCTTAGGACAGCCACTGGGATTCGAGTCCTTAGGCCCCCAGGTCAGTGCCTGGCATCACTAGGTGCTCAGGCTTGGTGACTGAGTGCATGTGTGCATGAAGGCATTACTTTGGCAAAAACACTGTGCTGCAGGGGCCGCTTCTCATCTCTACTGTGCCCAGCATACTGATCTCTTGTCTACATACCAACCAAACTTAACAAGACTCTAGATAAACCAGAATGTGGATTTATGTGAGAAAAAGAGCTGTCAGAGGAGCCAGGTGTTCATGTTTGTGATTAATTGTAGATCTGTCTACAGGAGAAGCCGAATTATAATTAGAACCTTGTTTGAGGGCAAAGTCTGGTGGGGCTCCTGCTGATGTGTGGTTGTAAGCTGAAATGGTCTGGCATGATGGGCCGACAGGACAGGAGCCGTCGGAGTCAGGCTCCTGCCCTCTGCTGGAAGAGTGTTGCTAATCTTAGATATTTTGTGGGCACCTTTCATGCTTAGAAGCAGTCTCTCCTGTCTTTGTATTCATTCTGATTAGGCTGCAGACTTCTGCTCTCACCTGTTTATGCTTTTTGTAGGGTCTCACTGCTTGAGGCTGCCTCATGCCTCACTCTGCCCTATTCATGGTCTGGTGGCATACTGCAATTAATGGTAGCATCAGAGTAGGGGGTCTTGACCTAGTCTTGCTCTGGTGTAAGGGACATACTTCTTTTGAGGACCTCTCAACCTTCTTGCCTAAAAGACTTGCCTAAAACACTGTAAGGATAGAACATAGGGCATCACTCACTTTTTTGAATGAGAGGGAATGAGGCTATGGAACAAAACACAGGTAAGCACTCAAATTTTAGCCACAGTTACTGTGTGCCCAAGGTGCTATTATCATCTCCATTTCAGATGAGGAAACACAGGCAGAGAGTTTAAGTAACTTGCCCAAAGTCACCCAGTTGAGGAATAGGAGAGCCAGGATTGTGCTCAGGCCTTCTGGCTCCAGAGCTGGTGTGCTTAACCATCATGTGGGACCCCAAACCTCTGGGCCCTGTGATAGGCCCCCGGGCTGCAACTGCTCAGAGAAAGTTGATGCCAGAGTGACAGATTTCTTAACATGTACGAATGGTTTGCTATTTATGTGAATGTAGGTACAGTTGATGCTTGAGCAACACAGGGATTGGCGTGCCAATACTCTTTGCAAAAATCTGGGTATAATTTTGACTCTCCAAAAATTTTACTAATAGCCTGTTGATCAAAGCCTTACTGATAACACATATTGTATATGTATTATATAGTGTATTCTTACAACAAAGAGAAATTGTTGAGAAAATCAAAGGAAATACAGTACTGTATACAGTATTCATTAAAAAAAAATGTGGACCCATGCAGTTCAAACCCAAGTTGTTCAAGGGTCATCTGTAGTTTGTATTCTTATAATTCTGATATACCAAAAGTCATTCACTACTCAGATACAGTCTGTTAGTTGTATTTTTGGGAGGAAGCAAGGGGAGAGAGAAAGATTAAGCCTATGAGGTCTGACTTTAGGGAAGGTGTCACTCTGGCTTAAGCCAAAAGCCCCGTCCAGAAGGGAAAGGGAAGTTAACTAGGTAAGGCCACTTCAGTCCTATAAGGAAGAAGCAGAATGAAACACAGGGGTTGTTTTTTCAATAGTCCTGTTTATTTTTAAAGTAGTCTCCATGCCTAACGTGGGGCTGGAACTCATGACCCCAAGATAGGTAGTTGTGTGCTGTACCAACTGAGCCAGCCAGGCACTTTTTTAAAAAAAAAAAATTTTTTTTTTTTTAACGTTTATTTTTTGAGACAGAGAGAGACAGCGCATGAACGGGGGAGGGGCAGAGAGAGAGGGAGACACAGAATCGGAAGCAGGCTCCAGGCTCTGAGCCATCAGCCCAGAGCCCGACGTGGGGCTCGAACTCACGGAGCGCGAGATCGTGACCTGAGCTGAAGTCGGACGCTCAACCGACTGAGCCACCCAGGCACCCCTTTTTTTTTTTTTTTTTAATCTCTATGTCCAACGTGGGCTCGAACTCCTGACCCAGCTATTAAGAATCACATGCTCTACTGACTGAGCCAGCCAGGTGCCCTTCTCACAAGGATTTTTAAGATACAGAAGCCCCTGGCACATTTGGCGGGGGGTGGGGGGGGGGGAGGGCAGAGACAATTTTTTTGTGCTCAGTGAAGTATTAGAGCCATAGTTCACAAGGCTGTTCTAATCACTTTGCCTAATACTTGCTCTCTCTGGGGGGCGGGGAAGTGTGGGAAAATTGGGAAGATGGGGAATGAAGCGACTGAGACGCACTGGGGCTACTGAAGGCACAACACATTAAATCAGCAATGAGAGGACAGCTCTTGCCAACTCAGAATTTTACTTAGGTTGATCCTACTCCCTTCCCAGTCCAGGGGCTAAGGCAGCTGTCATTCAGCTCTTCAGGTCACAATTGCAAGGGTAGGAGTTAACTTCAGGAGATGTTTAATCATCCGGTCAGTCACTATTTGGGAGTCTGCATTGGGCTGAGTTTGCAGGACAACCGGAGGACCACTGCATGCCTAAATGAGGCCCATGGCGGGGGGTGGGGAGGCACTGTAGACACACGTGTTAAAAGGTTCCAGAATAACTGTACTTTTTGGGAATCTGGCAGATCTAGTGTTGCTTTCCTTTAAGGCAAAGAAAGAATAGGTGGGACTTTTCAGCGTACACAGCTTCCTTAACCACTTTCTCTCCCTTATTTCACAGCACTGGCAGCCCAGTCCAGGGACCTCAGCAGGGAGTGTATGGATCAGCCTGAGCTGGCCAACTGTGATTTGATCCTGCAGGCCCAGCTCTGTGGCAACGAGTATTACTCCAGCTTCTGCTGTGCTAGCTGTTCCCGCTTCCAGCCTCACGCTCGGCCTGTCTGGCAGCAGGGATGAAGGCTAGCTCCAGCCCCAGTCCTGAAGCAAGTCTCAGGCTGCTGTCTCTAGCTGGCAAAGGGAGCGATCTTGTAGAGAATGGGCTCTTTCAGCCCCCGACCCCCTGACCCCCCCAGTCCCCCCCACCCCACAGTGCTGTGCCTCAACAGCAGACAGCACCTGCCTCACTTCCGACACTACGGGCAGCGGTCAAGAGGAGTCTGCTTGGATAAGGACACCCTTTATGGCTTCCTTCTATAATTTCTGTTATACAGGATCAATTCACTGGGTTCTAAAGCAAGCTACCAGGGTTCTCACTTCATTTAAAGCTGGGTGGGGAGGTGTATAATGGGTTCAAAGTTAACACCTGTCTCACACGGGCACGCTAACTCTTGCTGTGTCAGGCAAGTTTCTTTGCTAGAACTCCATCTCATCCAGTGTCAAACAGTGGTCCATTAGTCAACCTCCCCCTTCCAGGTAGTGTAGCAACCAGCTTCAACTCACATCTGTACATACAGTTAATGGCATGTTTGTGAAGCTCTTGCCAAAGTGGAACACGACATGTAAGGCTCAGTACAGGGATGTGGGATGAAGGAGCGGCAGCTGTGTTATTGTGTGAGCATGACAGGATGGGGTCGGGGGGAGCTCCTTACTTTCATCAGAAGCTGGTGCCTGAAGCCCTCCTCCTGAGGCTGACCTGCAGAGCCTGGTGGTGAGGACTGCCTCACACCTGCATCAAGCTGACAGACCTGTTCTATACAGTGACCAACTGGGAGCCTCTCCTCCCCAAGCAGGAATCTGTGAAGCAAAATGTTTGCTTCCAGATACAAATCAGACTATTAAAAACAGGCAGCAGCAGGATAGGGGACCAATGGAGGGGAAGGCAATGTATTAACAATGAAGGGATTTCAGTTGGAAGAAATCCTTCTCCATCCCTCAGAACCTCCGGTTCCTTGCTGCTAAACAAGAGGCCTGGATTCAATGAGCTTCCAGGTCCCTTTCCACTTTAACCTTCTACCCATCCTCCAGTAGACTGGCTGGGCTAAGCCAAGGCTAAGCGACAGGTTATTCTGGGACACAGGAAAGACAGGCATTATAGGGAAAGCTGACTTTTATTACCAACGCACTGGCTGGAAAAGAGACAAACTGCATCATGGGTGAGTGAGACTTCTTCGTCTACCTCTCATTCAGCACAGGAAACATGGGTTAGGGGCAGAGGTATTTTTTTCTTTCCATTTAAAAAAAATACAGAGGAGCATCCCCTTTCATTTATCATGGCTGGTTTTGCTATACAAATTGGAAACTAAGGGCTATTTTCCTGGACTCCCCAATTCCTTATTTGCCAATTGGCAATGTAATTTAGAAGGGAAGTCTGAGGTTAGCTAGCTCTTCTTAGAACTAGTCACAGAAGAGCGGGCCAAGGTTAGGGAAATAATAAAACTCAATCTAGACAAGTGGTTCTCAACCCTCTTCCATACTGGAAGCTTTTTCTTTAAAAAACAAAACAAAACAAAAAAACACCCTGAGCAGCACCTGGGTGGCTCAGTCAGGTTAAGTATCTGACTTTGGCTCAGGTCATGATTTCAGTTTGTGAGTTTGAGCCCTTCATCAGGCTCTGTGCTGACAACTCAGAGCCTGGAGCCTGGTTCAGATTCTGGGTTTCCCTCTCTCTCTCTCTCTCTGCCCCTCGCCCACTTGCACTCTCTCTCTCAAAAATAAATATATATATAAAAAATACCTGAATGTGAGTCCCCACCTGCTCCCCGACATGAGAATTTTAAAAGCTTCCCAGGTGGTTCTAATACATATCCAACGCTGAGACTCACTGCTTCAGTCAGGGCCTTCTCAGAATGTGAATCTTGTTCCAGTGTAGATTCTGATTACTAGGTTGGGGGGGTCAGAATGGGGCTGAGAGTCTTCACTCCTAGGTGAAGTCCATGCTCTTGTTCCAGACCACACTTTGAGCAGTAAGGATCTGACATCAGAGATATGCTTAGGATGAACCAAAGCCTAAAGTATAAATACAAAAGTGAATTTTAAGAGTAGACTAGTCCTGATGGGCACAATAGATAAAGGGGACTAAGAGGTACAATCTTCTGGTTGTAAGTCACAGAGATGAAAGGTATAGCAGAGAGAATGTAGTCAACAATACTGTAATAACGTGTGGTGACAGATGGTGACCACACTTATTGTGAGCACTGTGTAATGTATACAATTATCAGATCAATATGTTGTACACCTGAAGTTAACATTGTATGCAAATTATACTTCAATAAAAAAAAGTCCCAATAAAAGATTTTCTAGACATCAAACTGGAGTTCAGCAGAATGGAGCAAGAACAGACCAAAAAGAACTAAAACACATTTACTAATAAAGAAAAGGGGAAAGACCAGCCCTTCAGGGGCAAAAGCTTCTACCACGAACATTTATTTTTGTTAAAGCAGATTATAAATTCTCATCAGTACAAATATATATAACTTACATTTGATTGTAAGGCCAACGTTCAAAAGTAAAAATGAGATGGGATCTCACGTCGTTACCAGAGGTCAAGTGGCTACAACTGGCAACGGGATGCTCTCACCACAAGTGGGGGGACCGGCTCACACACAGCTATTAAACCAGAATCTCCATCCCCACAAAGCTGGTGGGGACAAAATCTAAAGGACAAAACAAAACCCGAGACCCACATGACAAATCAACACAGTAACCTGTGCTCCCGTCCATGGATATGATTAAGTCATTGTCACCTTAGTGTTAAAAGTAGAGGATTAACATAAGGAAACTGCAGCAGTATATAAAAGAAAATACGTATTCTCTGTAGAATGTATTCAGACTGATTCCATTAATTACATTAGGATTTCATCATAGGTTTAAAACCAGGACAATACTGCTCTTTCGTTTTTGTTAAAACTACCACCTAGGGACTGTATTGGTCATACGCATGATTGTTGCTGCAAGGTGCTACTTACAACGAATGATACCAAGTAATAGGGATCCCATCTGCAACTCCCAACCTCTCCGCTCTCCACATCAATAGGCGTCACCGATAAATCAATCTTATGTACAATTTCTTACAGCTAACCCTTTTACCTTTGGCAAGATTACTTACAACTCATACAACTTTTTAATCTTGAGAACTATTTAAAATATTCTGAATGCATAAAAATAAAGATTTTGGCTTTTCTGATATATATTTATAATATTTATTCTTACTCAGAGTGGAAGCTCAACTTTACCCCTAAGATATAGCTCTGTTGGGCAGCTGCTGTGCCCTCCGGGGAATTCTGGCAGCACGGCCTGCCTCTCGCCCCCAGCCCAAGCACAGGCCACCATGTCCTAGATCTCTAAGACAGGCCAGTGAGAGGCGGCAGGTGAATGGCCTGAGAAATGAAGGGTCATTGTTTTGCTTCCCGTTGTGTTTCATATTCCAGTAAATGTGCTTTGAATACAGATTCCTGTTCAGATACTCTGCCTCTCTGCTGCCAGAGATTTTTAAGGGGCTGAGGGAGTAGGAGGGGGACAGAGGGCAACATTTCCTTGACTTCTTTAGCCCAACTGCAAGACAACTCTTCTCTAGGAATGTTTCTTCCATTTTTTTCAAAATCACCTCTCCTAGCACTCTGTGCCTGGACATGCTCCTTAAGACCTTTGGGATTAGTGAAAAGTATACTGACTGGGAACACAAAGTTCCCTTTGCTTCTTTGACCTCTGCCCCTGCCCTTGCCTAAGTATGGGCAAAATACATAAGCCATAGAGACTACTTAAAGTTCAATTTCAAACGTTTTCTGTAAGTCACTGGAGAAAGGGTTGGTGGGAGAGGGGTTAGTACGCTGCTTGGACTTGCTTTCTAATGCAGCCCACTGGGCTTCGAAGGGATCCACCGGGCAGGCCCCTGCAGGAACCTCTGTGTGCTTATCTCCCGAGGCTAACCTGCCATCGTCTACACCATTGAAAGCTGCAGAACCGTTGAGGTGCTGAGCAGGAGGCTTAAAGAAGGGACTGGCAGTAGCACTGCTTGTCTCATACTGAGGGAATGTCTGCTGCTTGACCAGGCCGGGAGACTGATGGGAGTGGGCAGCCTGAGGGTGGCCTGCAGTGCCAAACACGTTGGCTACCATCTGGGAGGGAGTGATGCCCACCACAGGCACATTAGGGGCTGGATAGGGCATCCCATTGGCCACAGGATAGGACTGGGCAGGGACAAAGGCTGGTGGCAGGGGTGGGACCACACCCACTGGTACGGGCTGAGAGGTGAGGAATGCATTCCCTTGGAAAGATGGCGCCGGCTGGGTGATGGCAGTGGGTGGAGGAGGCTGGAGAACTGGCTGCAGAGAGGCAGCTGAGGCCTGAGGCTGCTGCGCCCGGACACTCTTGGACACCTCTTCTAACCAGCGGTCAGCCTCAGAGGGAGTGCGTCTGTGACCAGCCTGGAAGGGACCTGGAGATGCGGCACCAGAAGACTGACTCCACTCGGTCCCTGAAACCAATGAGATCAAGAGAGACAAAAGAATCAGAATCGTTAGGGGCTTCTTTCCTTACCTGATAACCTTGGTTACCTGAATGATCCTAACATGTGGAACAAGTGCCCCTAATGGGACACTTTGTAGTTCTAGCAGGTGTGAGAAAAGTCTCTATTACCAGCTGAGGAGGTTTTGCTTTAGGACAAAGGAAACCTGTCAGACCATGCTGCTATCGCAGCCACACTGAGGAGCTGTCTAGATAGGGCTCAGACCCCATGGAACTAAGGCAGCTGGCTGGCATCTGAAACCCCTTCCTATTGCTGTGGCTCCTCCGTGCTACAGAAATCGGCCTGCACATGCTCTAAAGAGCCCAAGGTGATTCACCTTTTGCTCTAACAGAATAAAAAGAAAATAACCAGGGACATGGTGCTGTACTTTGTGGCCCCTGTCTTGCTTCGAGAGACATGTTATCTTTCAGGTGAACTGCCTTTATTACTATTAAAATTTGTTTTGATTTTATAGTTAACAAATGTTCATTACAGAAAAACTAGAAAGTAAAGCAAAGCAAAAAACAAAGCTTTTTCTGTAGGCCTGCCATTGTAAGAGGCAAGGTTCCCACCCTTGTTACGGGCATATCCATTTATCTCCAAATCCAGTGGTCAGCTCAGGGTTGGGCCCAGGAATCTGTATTTTGTGAAAGTTCTAAGGGGTAGTTGTGTTCTGTAGCCCTAGAAACTATCAGTCTAATCTCTTGAGTTCCTCTCCTTCACCATCCTTTCCTAATAGTTTATTTCCAGGAGGGAACACACTTTTCCTGAAAGGATTCCTCCCCGGTTCCCACTTGGGTAAATGGCTGATTTCTGAATCGGCG